ACCCCCGGGGAATTCCCTTATAGGGTGAATTTGGACCAGAACCCATGAGGAAGTCACCTTATGGTTACAAATTCTTAGGGGACATTTTTGTTTTTTCATTTTACTTACTACCAAGGTATAGATAGACAAGTTTATTTTACCGTACTGAGAGACAAGTTGTTGTTGTTGTTGTTTTCACTCTTAGACTGAAGGTGGAACCCTTTAATTGAGGATTCTCTTAATAACATCATCACTTTGGATGGTGCCTAGGTTTTATCTCCTGTGTCTGTGCCAGTGTGGATACTGAAGGTCTCTAGGATTAAGCAGAATCTCTCTTGGTGAAAACCAATTTATTGCTTTCTTACCTTCCACAATTTCTGATTTCACTTCATTTTGGCCCCTGTAGAATCTTTTTTTTTCTTCCAGTTTTATTGAGATGTAATTGACAAACAGCATTGTGTAAGTTTAAGGTGCACAGTATAATGATTTGACTTGCATACATTATAAAATGTTTGTCACATAAGTTTAGTGAACATGCATCATCTCGTATAGATACACAGTTAAAGAATAGAAAAAAATATTTTTTTCCTTGTGATGAGAAGTCTTAGGATTTACTCTACAGCTTCATATGTAACATACAGCAGTGGCAATTTTATTCACCATATTTTATATTACGTCCCTAGTACTTATTTGTCTCAGTGGAAGTTTGTACCTTTTGACTGCCTTTATCCAGTTCCCCTTCCCTCACCCCCTGCCTATGGTAACCACAAATCTGATCTCTTTTTCTGTGAGTTGGTTTGTGTGTTTGTGTTTGAAGTGTAATTGACCTACAATGCTATGTTACTTTCTGTTATATAGCATAGTGATTCAGTATTTTAGTACATTTCAAAATGTATAGAAGTGTATTTCAAAATGTATTTCAAAATGATCACCATGTAAGTCTAGTTATGATTTGTCACCATACAAAGATATTACATAGTTATTGAATATATCCCCCACACTGTACATTTTATACCCTTGACTCATTTATTTTGCAACTGGAAGTTTGTACCTCTTAATCTCCCTCACCTATTTCTTTCTTCTCCTTACCCCCCTCCACTCCGGCAACCACCTGTTTGCTCTCTGTATCTATAACTGTTTCATTTTTGCTGCGTTTGTTAATTTGTTTTTATTTATTTATTTTTTGTGGTACGCGGGCCTCTCACTGTTGTGGCCTCTCCCGTTGTGGAGCACAGGCTCCGGACGCACAGGCTCAGCGGCCATGGCTCACGGGCCCAGCTGCTCCGCGGCATGTGGGATCTTCCCGTACCGGGGCACGAACCCATGTCCCCTGCATCGGCAGGCGGACTCTCAACCACTGTGCCACCAGGGAAGCCCTGTTTTTAATTTTTAAATATACTTTTGGCTGCGTTGGGTCTTTGTTGCTGCTGGCAGGCTTTCTCTAGTTGCGGTGGATGGGGGCTACTCTTCATTGCAGTGCGTTGGCTTCTCTTTGTGGTGGCTTCTCTTGTTGTGGAGCAGGGGCTCTAGAGTGCAGGCTCAGTAGTTGTGGCACATGGGCTTAGTTGCTACACGGCATGTGGGATCTTCCTGGACCAGGGATCAAACCCATGTCCCCTGCATTGGCAAGTGGATTCTTAACCACTGTGCCACCAGGGAAGTCCCTAATTTATTTTTTAGATTCCACATATAAGTGAAATTATAAAGTATTTGTCTTTCTTTGACTAATTTCACTTAGCATAACACCCTCTGGTTCCATTCATGTTGTCACATATGGGAAGATTTCATTCTTTTTAAAAAAACCGTTGAGTAATATTTCATCATATATATGTATATGTGTGTGTGTATTTATATATGTATATACATCTTACATCTTCTTTATCCATTATCTATTGATGGTTACTTAGGTTGCTTCCATATCCTGGCTATTATAAATAATGGTGCAATGAACATACGGGTGAATATATCTTTTCTAATTTGTGTTTTCATTTTCTTTGGATAAATACCCAGGAGTGGAATTGCTGGATCATATGGTAGTTCTGTGGTAGCTCTATTTTTAATTTTTTTTTTTTTTTTTTTGCCATATGCGGGCCTCTCACTGCTGTGGCCTCTCCCACCGCGGAGCACAGGCTCCGGATGCGCAGGCTCAGTGGCCATGGCCCACGGGCCCAGCCGCTCCGCAGCACGTGGGATCCTCCCGGACCGGGGCACGAACCCACGTCCCCTGTATCGGCAGGCGGACTCTCAACCACTGTGCCACCAGTGAAGCCCTATTTTTAATTTTTTGAGGAACTTCTATACTGTTTTCCATAGTGGCTGCACCAATTTACATCCCCACGAACAGTACACGAGGGTTCCCTTTTCTCCACGTTGTGAAATCTTTAATTTGTGGTTGCTCAGCAAAATGTTAAAGAAAAGTTTTTTTTTTTTTGCATTGCTCTGGATGTCTACTCTGCATAATGCCAATAATAGAAGTCTTACTCAACCTTTCACAATATGGATGTAGCATAAATTTTAATTGCTTCTTTACTAAGGGATTTAGGTTTTTGTTTGTTTTTGTTTTGCTAAAAAATTATGAAGTAAAAAAGTTTTTTGCATGTTGATCTTTGTGCACACATGCAAGTAGTTTTCATCACCAGTGGAGTGAGGCAAAGGAGCAAGATATGATCATTTTTATCTAGCCTTTTGCGTGCTACTTAATTTGCAGATTCTTTACATGCCACTAGAATATGTTTTCATATTCTAAAAATTTCCCACCCAAACAAAATGCATTATCGTAAGCACATTGTTGTTTCTGAATAATCTATGTTCAGGTTACCATACTTTGGAAGTGTACCCAAAAACAGCGTTGCCACTGATCCTAGATTGTGTTTTTGCAGGTGAACAACACTTTTTATATATGCTGAATCATTAGAAAATAGAAGTTATGTATCAGCCTGCAGGAGAGTTCAGAACACAGCTTCTGATGTTTCTCAAATAAAGAAAACCAAAAGCCATCATAAATTACGTTTTTCAGATGGCATAATTACAAATAAATGAGGAAATGAAACAGCAGGCTACATATCCTTGATAGTTTACAGTGCAGGGTCACATGGCATTGATTTCCAATGTAGAGGCCTTTTATCAATACAAAGCAGTGACTGTTGTAGATTATATGATGCTGAGTATTAATAAGCATGTTTTGTGCATATCTGTTATATGAAAATAATTTTTCATTTCATGCTTTAGTTTTCCTTTGTGGCATTCTGAACTGTGGAATCCTTTGTCTACCATTTGGCTTTCCATAAACTATCAGGCAGGATGTCTGTGAGAGTCTCTACTTTGAGAAGTAGTGTACATAATACTTATTTATCATGTACCACTCATAATTACATTATCATGATATATCCTTTATCTTCAAAATAACGTCTGAGAATTCATTGTCTTTTAACACTAGAAAAAGGTGTTTTCTAAAGACTTTTTCCAGAAATCCAAATGTTTCTGGGGGCTCTTTCCAATCCTCATACAATGTATCTTTGGCATGTTAAAAATTGAGAACTAAATTTTCTGTAATTTTTTTTGGTTTAAATTTTGTCTATGTAATTATTCTTTGAGATAGACATTTGAATTTACTCCATACTCATCCTTGTTTAAAACTCTCATAGCTGAGATGTCCTCAGGCTTGTAGATTGGCCAGCTTTGATGACATCTCTCTGGCCTTTGAAGTTGGCACAGTTCAATATAGATACCTCAGGGGTGTGTGGCCATGGAAAAACATGTTTTTGTTGTTGAGTGTTCTTGCTTTCTAGTAATTTTATTTTCTGCTCAAGGGATTTAGTATCTGTTCAGATACTTTATTTTTAAAGACCACATAAGTAATGACTTGATCTCTAATCTTAGCTTTGAAAATTTCCCAGACACTAATAAAGATAATGTCTGATGACCTATTGTTTGAGAATACTATTCACTGGCCAGCAATCAGTGCTATTTAAAAATGTATATTTTACTCTGAAAATTATTTCCATGGCTGAAAGACTTTGTTAGTAAAATCATGCATGTAATGAGATGATGTTTAGTTTTTTGCTAAACTCTAAGTTATGTTCAAAGAGAAGAAACAATCTACTTAATTAATTGTATTTTTCGTTGTTGTTCTTTTTTGGAATCTGTTATAACCCAGTTGGACAGTCCTGAAAGAGATTTGAGTAATTGAGATTTTCCCTTTCTTCCAGTGGAAGGGAAATATTTCAATTTACTTGCTTTAGGCTATAAAATAGTTTGCTCTTCTTTTGCCCACAGCAAGAATTATGAACCTAAAGTCACAAAACAGATTCAGTATTAACTTTTTTTTTTTTTTTGTGGCATGCGGGCCTCTCACTTGTTGTGGCCTCTCGTTGCGGAGCACAGGCTCCGGATGCACAGGCTCAGTGGCCATGGCTCACGGGCCTAGCCGCTCCGTGGCATGTGGGATCTTCCCGGACCAGGGCATGAACCTGTGTCCCCTGCATCGGCAGGCGGACTCTCAACCACTGCGCCACCAGGGAAGCCCCTCAGTATTAACTTTTAAAGTTTCCCCATATTTCCACCCTCATCAACTGTAAATAATGTGCCTGAATGTAAAATGGAAAAAGTTGAAAATTTCCACTTGTGCATTTTGAGCTTTTCAGAGGTATTATACACTCTGGATATAATAATAAAAGTTACTGGGCCTTATACAGCGCTTTTTGTGGAGGAACTCATATAAACACTAATGCATTGATCCTAACACAGTACTTGATTGTGACTTTAAAAGGTCATGAGTTACTGCTGTTACAAAAATTTTTTTTAAAGGTTGGAGGAGGAGCTGTAATTTACAAATATTGTTTGAAAGATATCTAGATAAAAGTTGATACAGGAAACTGAAAAATTAAAGTTACGGGGGATTTTTATTGTTTGTTAACTTTTCTTCTAGCCTACAGTAGATTTTTATCCCTTTATGTTTTTTTCTCCTTTTGTCTATGAATATACTTGAAGCCCGATTCCCTTCTTAAGACCAGAAGGCACAATTTACTTTTAAGCTTTTATTCCTTCTCAGCCAAGAAGGCTTCAACCTGTGGAGGTTTCCTGAGTTTGTCATAACATAGTAATACATTTTATTTGTTCTCAATTGGAGATCATCCTTCTAGTTTTCTTAGTTTAATATTTGTGGCATATAGTTGTTGATTTTTATGAACATAGTAGTCACGTGGCTTAATCTTCAACTTTTTTGTGCTTTGTAGGTTTATTCTTCAATCCAAGGAGGCAATTCATAATCAGCTGTTAGAGAAACAGAAGATAGCGGAAGAAAAAATTAAAGAATTGGAAGTAAGTAAGTTTTGACTGAATACTGATAGTCGTAGTCGACTTTTAGGAAAAAAGTAATTATCGTGTCATATTAAATGAAAATGTATGCCTGCCAAGGTCATGTCACATTGTTTTCATTTTTTCTAATTGTGCTAGAGCTATGAAGCAGTCTTTTTACAGCAGTGTGTAAGACCAGAAAAAAGACTAATCTCTTGAAACCTTAGGGAGTTTTGAAGAAGATAGGATATTGTTAACCTGAATGTATTTCTTCCATTGCCTTTAAGTAAACATGTCTATTCTTAAAAAATATAATAAAATAAAAGCACAGTGTATATTTAAACACCATATGTTGTGGTGGATGGGCATGAGAGTAGGTAATGATAATAGTAGTCAAAGGATCTAGTTATATGACTCTTTCACACATTGTAATTCTAGACAAGGACTGAGTAGTAAGCTATAACTAATTAACTATCCGAAGGGTAGTGCTCCAGTGAGGAAAACAATTTTTTTTTTTTAAGCTAGGGAAAAAGATGATAGGTAAGAGTAATAATTTAGTAAATCTTTGGAAAATTGGAGTTTATTATTACCATTTCTTTATACATTAAAACCTCAGATGAAATAGTCTTCTTGGGCTTTGGTGAATGGTCTATCCTGTATATAGTAAAAGTTGGACAGGACAAAAAAACTGGTTATTATTTTTTGGGACCAAGATTTCCTGAGATGGGGGTGGATACAGTGACTTCATAGGTCACTTTATCTAATTTCTTTGAATACTATTTGAGGCAGTGGTTCAGAATCTGACTCAGCCCTCTGCTGAATTGGTGAGACACCCCATGTAGCCTTCAGGGGATTTCTCAGGGACACTGACTTGGCATGGCTGGGGCAAGCATGTTGTATCTTAGGTTACTTAGGGTTATTTTTGTTTGACTACCAATGAGAATTTAAACAAACTTGATAGTGGCTTTGTAGCTCAGAAAATGTATTGTAAAACAAAACAAATAAGCAAACAAAAAAAAAAAAAGAAAACTTATCCTGTAGTAACCAGGTTGTTATTATATCCTATTTTGTCAGCCCAACTCTTCTAGATTGAGTTTTCCAAACAAAAGTATCTTAAAAAAACTGAACGAAAATATTTCATGTAGATTACCAAAAAAAGTGTGTTTTTGCACTTGTTGGTAAATATATCTAAAAATTGTCCTGATGAATAAGTAGCAAGATGCAGAGTAATGTGTAAATAATTCTTTTTATGGAAACAAACAAAAACCAAGATCTGTATATGAACATAGAAAATGATTTGTAGGTATATATATTAAATTAACACTGGTTACCCTAAAGAAATTAGATGGGACATGGGGATAAAATTGTTTTTTTCTTATAACCTCTGTGTTGGATAAATTGTAACAAGTATGTGTTAACCTTTTTTTTTTACCATCGTTTTTGGAGTATAATTGCTTTACAATGGTGTGTTTCTGCTGTATAACAAAGTGAATCAGCTATACATATACATATATCCCCATATCTCCTCCCTCTTGCATCTCCCTGTGTTAACTTTTATAATTTAAAAAAATCATCAAGGTAAAATTGCCACAGATGATGAGTTTAGCATACTATTCATTTCTGATGAATATTAGGAAATTCATTTTCCAAAAGTTTCGTTTCACGGAGTCTCTCAAATACTGGTAAGAGTATCCTGATATCTGTCAGGTAATAGAAATAGATTAGCTAGCTTGTTGGTATTTGAAATGCTAATTAACAGCTACAAAAAACTAGCAGAGTTAAACTATAGCCTCTACCCTACGAAGTTATTTTGTGTTTTTAATTTTTCATCTTATACACTATTTATATTATAAAAATGATGTAAGTATACTATAAAAAATAGTCAAAAACTAAAACATGATTAAACAAAAATAATGACTTTCTCCTCTTTCTGCATACTCTCAAAATGTCACTTTTATGGTTTGATGTGTATCATTACACTTTATAAAACTTTATTTTATAAACAAGTTCATATACACATATATACACTTTTTTTGAGTAAAGAGGGATTATGCTGTATATAATGTTTTTCATCATTTGACAATTTACCTTTCCATTTTAGTAATGTAAATCTAGTTTATATTGTTTCTTGTTTTCCATTTATCCTACCATCATAGTTTCCTTATTACCTCAACATTCAATTATTGCATGATCCCTGCCTCTGCATTTAGTGTTCTCTCCAATACTGCCCTAACCTGTATTTTTAATGGTATCACCCACTACACACACTCTTCTCTTCCCTGAAGCAATCCTATACTTTTTGACTGCCATACCTTTATAATTTTGTTACTTCAGCCTGAAATGTATACACATGTGCACAGACCCACATGTGCATGCATGCACACATACATTGTTAGTTGCAGTGTTCAGATTTTCTGTTTCTTACTGATTATTTTTCCTCCTTATTCAGTTAGTTATGAGAGAGTTGTGTCAGATCTCCCTCTGATGATAGTTATGAATTTCTCCTTAGTCTTTCAGTTTAGTGGGCAGTGGTATTTAGAAACTACTATCTGGGTGCTGTAAATGCTCATTATTACTGTATGCATAGTTGAGATGATATGTTTCATTTTGCTTTATATGTTTAGGAATTTCTCAGCTCTTTTAAAGATAGCATTCCATTGACTTCTGGCTTCCATTGTTGCTGTTTAGAAGTTATCAGCCTAATTTTTGTTCCTTTGTCTTTTCTCTGTGGCTACTTTTAATATTGTTTTGTCATCTTTCATGCTTTGTAGTTTCTCTGGTATATGTTTAGGTGGGGATTTAGTCTTTTTGCTTTTTTTCTTAATCCTATCTGGGTTAAGTTGAGTTTTCTGAGTTTGAGGATTAGTGACTCATCAATTCTGGAAACTTCTTACTATCTCTGAATATTACTTCTTCACTGTTTTCTCTTTTAAATGGTATTTCCCTCTGGAATTTTTTTCTCACCTTTAAACCAGCTGTTTCCATCATCTGCAGTAGCATCTTAACTGGTTTTTCCACCTCCAACTTTCTCTGTTCTAATCCTTTTAACATATTGAAGCTAGAATGACCTTCTAAAATGTTAAATCTGTTGTATTGTTCCTCTGTGTAAACCCCATCATTGTTCTTAGGGTAACATTCAAGCTTTTTAACATACCTTCAAGGCTGTTTATGAAATGACTCCTGTTTCTTTCTCTCATGTCCCTCATATCCTCTTCCTTCTCTTACACTGTATGCTCCAGACATGCAGAAATAGTTTGTTTTTAGAACTTGCTATGTTTTCTTTGTTTCTACTAGGTCTTTGCAAAAGTAATTCTCTCCGCCTGGGAACTTCCTCCTTCTGCTCTTACCAGCTCTGTTAATCCTTAAGATCTTAGTTTAGGGCTACTTCTTCTGAGAAGCATTTTCTGATTCCTCAGTGTTAAATTAGTGCTTTTCCCTTGTTCTGTCTAATTATTCTACTAGTTTCATAGCACAGTGTGAGGATTTGGGCATATAAACTATCATCAGTTGAAGTAATTACAAATATGGTTTCCTATTACTTGGGAAGCTTGATGCAGATTCAGAGCTCTAAATAGTTTTTCCCAAGGCCTTCCAGTTATTACTCTGCCTTTCAAATATACAGTCTCTTCTTCTGGGCCCTAGTATTTCTTGTCAGTCCAGCGTATTTCATCTTATTTAATTATCATTATCATTATTAGTTTCTACCCTCAGATACCTTAAATTAAATTGAGGAGGCATAATTTATACATAACTCTGCAGACAAAGGCCAGGCTGTTTAATTTAGCACATTTTCATCTCTGATGAAGTAAGCTTTTTGGTTTGGGTCCAAAGTTCTAGTTTTTGACCAGAGCTATTAACTCGGCCCCACTGTGTGTGCCTACCCACCCCCTACCAGCAGTCTATATAAATGACGCTATGGATCATTCTTTTCCATGACATAACATAGGTGCTAGTCTGATCGGAGAGCCCATCTTCATTAGTATTTTCTAGACTCGCTTTTATCCACCTCCATTCTCTCTCTTTTTTTTTTTTTTTGCGGTACACAGGCCTCTCACCGCTGTGGCCTCTCCCGTTGCGGAGCACAGGCTCCGGACGCGCAGGCCCAGCGGCCATGGCTCACGGGCCCAGCCGCTCCGCGGCATGTGGGATCCTCCCGGACCGGGGCACGAACCCGTGTCCCCTGCATCGGCAGGTGGACTCAACCACTGCGCCACCAGGGAACCCTCCACCTCCATTCTTACTGTTTATGTTTGCCCTCTCCAGATTTTTTTCCCCAGTCCTACTTAACCTAGAATTTGTTTAGCTTTTGATAACTGTAGTATGCTGTGTCTACATTGTCAACCAGCCTGGTGTCTCACTTGCTGGCCCTTTTCTTCTTATGGAGCAGAGGTGGGGGTACTGTAATGCTGCTGTCATGTCCTCTTTCTTTTGGGCCATGTGGCGCATCATGCGGGGTCTTAGTTCCCCGACGAGGGATCGAACCTGCTCCTCCTGCAATGGAAGCATGGAGTCTTAGCCACTGGACCACCAGGGAAGTCTCTGCCCTCATGTCTTCTTTTTTTTTTTTTGCGGTACGCGGGCCTCTCACTGCTGTGGCCTCTCCTGTTGCGGAGCACAGGCTCTGGACACGCAGGCCCAGCAGCCATGGCTCACAGGCCCAGCTGCTCTGCGGCATGTGGGATCTTCCCGGACCGGGGCACGAACCCGTGTCTCCTGCATCGGCAGGCGGGCTCTCAACCACTGCGCCACCAGGGAAGCCCCCTCATGTCTTCTTGATAGGGAGTTATATTACATACTAGAAGGGTAAAGACAAGTACCATCTTAACCTTGGGAAGATTGTCTTTTTCTTCTTAAAATTCCATATTTTACATTTTAATACCCCTATGTTGGGTTCTTCAGGCTGTAATCACTTTCCTGGGTTTGACTAGGAAGTGTTTTCATAACAGACTCATAATGTGATAGTGTTATATAGATTTTTATCTTGCCTTTATAGAGATGGTTGATCAGGTTCTGGGAGGGAATGTCACCATTTCTCTTAATGGCGATTAGCAGACCAATGATGGTAATCCGATTGAAGAGAAAAAATAAAATGCTTTAGTATGATAGAGTAACCATGTTATTTATGTCATTGAGGGAATTCTCTATTTAAAAAAAAATACTGATAATGAATAATTTTAAAGAAGATGGCTGAGTATATAATACGTAATACAGTATATGTTAGAAAATGCAAAATTGTACTTTTTAAAAATGACATGAGTATAATTGGGATTTGGAATTAGGACTTCATGAGTCTCATCTGTCTTTGTAAAAATAATTTTCTTTTTGAAATGTACAGCATTGCTACAAAAAGAAAGTATAGTTTTTTTTTAAGAAAATTCAACTTTAGGTAAAGTTGAGTTAAAACCTTATTGATAGATTGAAGAGATATGTATCTTCTAAAGAGTGAAAAATACATCCTATATTTTTGCTCACTTTTTTAGAGGTAAAAAGAAAATAATTACTTGTGGACTTCTTTTGCAGTTGCAAAAACTTAGATTCAGCATTCAGATGAGCTAGAGCTGAATTTTTGATGTCTTGCCTTTTGAATCTCAAGTATTTGGAATCCTTGAGATAAGCTTTCAGTGGTATATTTGAACACATTTTGACCACTATTCTCCTATGTTCTCTCTCATTGAATTACCGCTTCAGGCTCATCTACCTTCAGTTTAAAATCCCCATTATATTTTAGGCACACGCAAATACTGGTTGACCACTTTCCTTCCCCTCTTTCTCTGACGTGGTTACCACCCCTTCCACCACCCTAGTTAGCTCAGCAATGACACAATAAAAATAAGAATAAGGAAACCAGGACATTCTGGCCTACATAATGCCACTTCTGACGCAGAATGTTACAATCCCAGGGTTGTGAAATAGCCCTCCAGCCCATGCTATAAGTAAAATCTAAGAAACTGTGAAAGTCCTGGCTCTTCCACAAAAATGGCTATTATGGTCAGACAGTAGTTCCTGAAACAAGTAGGAAGACTAGTGGCAAGAAAACTGGATAGGAGGTGCCTGTGACACTCTGCAGTTGGCTGAGTTCTGAGACTCTGATGAGAAAATGTTTTGGAGTTTCCATGATTGAGGAGATTTTACTCTGCCTGATGAGGATCATTTTTTCCGTAGCATGGGTAGGCACTGGTAGGCACTTGGATGGATGTCCAGTTTTTGCCCTAAGTACCTCACTTTTGCGCTGGTACCTTTTTTTTTTTTTTTAATTTATTTAGCTATTTTGGTTGCATTGGGTCTTCGTTGCTGCGCGCAGGGTTTCTCTGGTTGCGGCAAGTGGGGACTACTCTTTGTTGCAGTGCACGGGCTTCTCATTTTGGTGGCTTCTCCTGTTGCAGAGCACAGGCTCTAGGCGCGCGGGCTTCAGTAGTTGTGGCACGAGGGCTCAGTAGTTGTGGCTCACGGGCTCTAGAGCGCAGGCTCAGTAGTTGTGGCGCATGGGCTCAGTTGCTCCACGGCATGTGGGATCTTCCCAGACCAGGGCTCACAGTGTCCCCTGCATTGGCAGGCGGATTCTTAACCACTGCACCACCAGGGAAGCCCTGGGCTAGTACCTTTGTGTGTATGATGGGACACCCTCTTTGGACGTGATGTCAGGTGGACACTACTGTATGATAAGCACTGATTCTTACTTGTGTTTTCAATGAAGAGAGAAGGGCAGGTGAGAGCAAAGCCAGTGGCAGAATGTTTTTTTTTTTTTTTTTTTTTTGCAGTACACAGGCCTCTCACTGCTGTGGCCTCTCCCGTCACGGAGCATAGGCTCTGGACGCGCAGGCTCAGCGGCCGTGGCTCACAGGCCAAGCTACTCCGCGGCATGCGGGATCCTTCCAGACCGGGGCACGAACCTGCGTCCCCTGCATCAACAGGCGGACTCTCAACCACTGTGCCACCAGGGAAGCCCAAGAATGTTTTTTATATATTAAACAAGAGTTACACCCAATGGTTCATCTGCTTGCACAGCTCAAAGTTTAGAATCCATCAAAAAAAATTAGTCATTTATTTATTTTGTAGTGAAATATAGCATTTACAGAAATATGTATTAAAATACATGTAGTTTAATCAATAATTATAAAGCAAACACTTGTTACAATCATCCGAACCAAGAAATCAAAAATTGGCAGACCACCAGAGCACCGCCCCCTACCTTTCTTTCTCCCTTCTATTCCTGCCTGCTCTCCCCCTCCCTCAGGTAACCCTAACTTTTGGATAATTATTTCCTTTCATAAAAAATATAGTTTTACTACCTATGTGTATATCCCTCAAGACAGTTTTTGAACTTTATATGAACAAAATCCATCTCCATATTTTTTGCTTTGCTTCGCTTCTTCCTCAGCATTGTGTTTGTGAAGTACATTCATGTTGAGATTGTGATTTGTTCATTTTCATTGCTGTATGTATTCTATTATATAGTTGTACCACAATTTATCTTTCCAGACAGCTCATTTTTACCCTTAAGAAGTCAAGATGTTCTCATGGAGCATTTGCACAGTTTCTCTCTTAGCCTCTTGGCTGAGGAGAGCTATTTTTCAGAGACATCTCCTACTCCAACCCAGGAGAGTTTGAGTACTAGAGAGCAGTAAAGTATAAAATGTCTCTACTCTAAATATTAGCTTGGTGATTTCCCACCTTCAGTAGTAACTAGATAGCTAGGCACCTCTGAGTGTCTTAAAAAATTTTTTTTTAAATAATTACAAGATTAGTAAATTAATCTCTTTCTATGTTGTTTTGATTTTGGGAGTCTTGGGTGAAGTTTCTCATATTGTTTCATATGTTGGGATTTCACATATGAATACTTATCTCTTTATAGAGTTCATTTGTATTCTTAACATTTATAAAAAAGGATGTTTGTTTTAAAATAGTTTTTAGTTATTTAAGACTTGTCTAAAAGAGCCTGATGGTTGGAAGGCTAGAGTTATGGTGAACTATATATATTCTCCACATCCTGGTGTTTTAGGGCTTAATGTAGCTGTGTGATCCTCCTCTGTGACTTTCAGAGAAGAATGAATCTGAGTAAGTCCATATATGCTCTTTTTCTGGTTGAGTATTCTTTATTGGTTATTATGAATATTATCAATATCTTGGTCAGTATATATGTGTTATGATTCAAGTGCTAATATTTGCCCAAATGTAAACTATCTATGATATATTTCATTTGATCAGTAGAAATATTTCAGGTCTGGTAAGAAGTTAGATGTAAACAGTCCAGATAGACTTGCCCTTTATAGACAGCCTTTCTTATTTGTCTGTGAAATGCATATTACAGATATTTTACACACACACTCCTTTGATTTGATCTGTTCACTGCTGTGTGTCTTCGTTTTGTGATTAAGATTTCAAAAGGATTTGCATTCCAGTTAGTCCAGAATTCAGCCTTTTGCATCTTGATTCAGTTATTTTCTTCTAGGATACACTCCGGGGGTGGCCTGATTCCCCTCCTTGGAACACTTGTCTATAACCACACCAGACTATCCCTTTGAATGCTTCAGAGGGTTGTTGACCTCATCCTTTGCTGCTGTATGCTTTATATGGTCTGTACTTTTCTTTGTCTGACCATAAATATTTGTCCTTAGCCTCCGCCCTCCCATGCCTGAGAGTTCCTCCATTCATTTTCAGGCTGCTTAGTGAATTATTTCTTTTGATGAGTTAGAATTTGAAATTTATTTCGTGTTATTGCATGCCTCCCTGCTCTTGTAACTAGATGGTAAGGTGAAGTTAATCAGTATACTTTTCTTTACCCTAGATTCTTACTCTGATCAGTCTTTATATGACAAGTCTCTTTTAATCTGAAGTAATAGATGCTGGCCAGAAGAAATGAGTTGTTCAATACTCAATGTGGAACAGGTCACACCTGTATTAATGAGCACACTGTAATTAATCAGCTCAAAAGAACAAAATCCAAGCTGATATTTGAACCATGAATGGAGATCTCAAAGTCTATTAGACTTATAGAAGAACATTCATTACCCTAAATTCCTAATTTAAATACTAAATTCCTAATTTAAATACCTTCTGTTGAGTTAGGAGTTCTGGATTCTAGCCCTTGCTGTACTCTAAGCCTCAGTGTCCTCATCTGTAAAACAAGAGGGTTGGATTAGAAGATATCTAGGGTCACTTCTATTAAGTTTATCATTATAACCTTGGTCTTTTTCTGAATTGCCACTTTAGGAGCAAAAATGTCCCCGTAAAATGAAAAGATGGAGGGAGGCAAACCAAAACAAAAAAACCCCGGTTTCCTTTCTGTTTAGATCATTACCTTAATTTATTAATTGTAATCCTATTTTTGCAGGTAAAATAAAACTAGTTGTCTGCCTACAGCTTTGCCAGCTAAAATGTAATACGAGGTGACAGCGTATTGTTTGATATCTTTGTAGTAGTTGCTTAAATAACTGAAATCACAGAGATGTTTGTGTGATGGCTTAAAGGTAGTTTGTATTAGGTATCACCTGTTTTAGAGATACTTTTGGATAGAGCTGTGTAATAGCTTATTAACTCTACATGCATAAAGTAACATACTCAGGGAGACATCATTTTATCATTTGTAGTGCTTTATCCTATAGTGTCATGTAAAATACATGATACTTAGTGGCAAAAAAAATTCAGAAAATATTGAAAAATTATTAAATTCTTTGAGTGTACATGGACTTTTATTATAAGTGGTAAATGTTATAAAATGGGTTTTAATGAATTTTAGTTAATCTGCTGGTGCAGATAGTTATACTGCTTAGGACTTTACCATTTTTATTTTACAATTTTATTCATTTTTCAAAGAATTTTTACTACATTATTTCATTTAAAAATAGTGTCTATGGTTGATGCTGTCTTGCTAATTATGATTTTCTCCCACCTCACTTTGTCTTGTTTTGAAACAAATCTCTCACCTGCCACCAGTATAATAAAAATATATGAATTCCATCACTATTCATGAGGCCATTCTTTTGGGTACATAATTATCTTGTGCTGGAATTTTTCCAAAATGGACACACATGCATTGTAGTCCTAACTTTTGTGTAAAACAATTTAGTTCATTTTATTATGCTTTTGTTTTTAAGAAAACACATGAGGGTGGAACAATACTCCAGGTCAGGAAGCATTATCAGTTTCCACTGATGTTTTATATGTGCTGTGTTTTTATATGAGACTCTAAAAGCTCAAACTCTGTGATGCTATAAAGACATGGAAAATGATTCTTTCTTAGGGTTGGAGGAAGTGATGACTAGTGTTTTTTTGCTGGTAGTATCTGATAATCCCCCCTCCCTTTAGCTATTCTAGGCATGTTTAGTTGTCAGGCGTTGTCGGACTAAATTGCTAAAAATAACAAATAAGGGGGAGACTGTTCTAAGGCCAGCTCTTGCCACTGTCTGTAATCTGTTTAATTTAGTTCCTAAGGAGAAAGGGCAAAAGGAACATGGTGCCATTCTAATTGAATGGGTTTTTTGTTTAAAGTGCTGACAAGTACATTGTTTGAGCTCTCTCTTTTCCCAAACCCCATAGGGCTCATGTACCCACATCCACTTATAGTGGAGAGCCAGAGCTGGGGGTCTCAAGAGCATCCTCTAATCAGTGGTTGTACTAGAGATTAACTAGGTGATTGTGGTCTTTTGCTCGAATTTAATGTGGCTTTTGACAGTGGAAATGTGCAGTTAGTTTGTGAGAGAGGGTGAGACAGAGAAGATGGTAGTTAAAATGGAGGAGTTATTGTGAGAATAAAGACATTTATTTAGTACTCTCTTCTGCCCTAACTCAGTGTTCCCAGAGAGTCAGGTTGTTTGATAAAATTAACCACACATGTGACTTCAGTATACCTGCACGTAATTTTAACCCCCATTACCAGCATAAACCTCTATGTGGATTTGGCTCTTGACTTCCCTGCACCTTAACTTCTTCCTAATAATAGAAATAACTTTCTGTAAAATGGAGATAGCAGTCTAGTACTTGTTTGTAAAGCTGTTGAAGATCACTGAAGGGATGATTTAAATATGCTTCCTATCCTCTGCTATGTATTTACCAGCGATGGAGTGTGTGAGAACTGGGAGCCAATTTTCAGTTATATTTCTGGTGTTCTACATTCTGTGTCAACTCACCTGAAGGTTTACTGATTTTTATATTCTGAAGTTGCTTATTGATTTTTGTGTCTGTAAGTCCTATCCAAAAATCCCTTTATGTAATTCTTTTGGTGGTGTTTTTTTGTTTTTTTGTTTTTGTCTGAGCCTGGCCACTTTAGCACCAAAGGAAAAAATGGATTGCTTTTATTAGAGATTCTTGGTAAGGAGTATCTTGGGAAAGCCTATATTAATGAAGATCCTGGTATTTACCTAAAGCTTTGGAAATTGAGCAATTGGACACTGCAGGCTTTGGGAGTGCTTATTACTTTTAGGCATTTTTTAAGTCACCAACCTGCTTTACTCCCTAATTTAATGAAATACATAATCATTTTAACTGAACTAAAGGGTCTCAAATTATAATTTAGAGCACAGTCTTCAATAATATCTATGCTACATAGATGATGAAGTCTTGTGATTCATGTGGAATGACATACATGGCAGCACTTAAAATCTTTACAAGTAGCTCAAGATTGATATCATTTGTGGTTGAGTTTAATTGGCTCTAGAAATTTGTAAAAAAAAATCACTTTCCGTTTCTGGACTTTTGGGGTTCAAACTCAGAGCCTTCATTAATGCAAGCTCAGTGTCTTTCTCTCTTTAGAGAAGGTACGAGAGGGAAACAAGCTATAGGTGGTGATAGAAAACATAAGAGGAAGAAGGAGCTTCTGGTACAATAGTTGAAGCCTTAAAATGGATCAAGTTTTGAACTGAATTGTAAAATATCATTTGCCTTAATTTTTAAGTGTTGATGCTTTCAATATCAGAGGCTGAACTTTCCACTTACAACTGATTTTTCCTTCCTTTGGGGGACTAAACAATTCTAAGATTCATGATATGAGGCTCTGGCCAATAATAATTGGCCAGAAGAAGTGTGTATGCATGTAAAAAAAAAATCATTAAACGTTTGCTGGGTGTCTTGATTATACAGAGTACAGGGTTTTGACTAACTATGGAGGCTTTTTGTTCTTACTTTCAATCTTATACATTAAGGAACCCACAGTCTACTGTATTTACTATGTGCCATGCACTATTATAGGCAAAGACATAATTAGCAAAGGCCCTGATGGCCTGGAGCTTATATTCTGGAGAATGGGATGCGGAGACAGATAATAAACAAATAATATAATTGATAAATGCTAAAAAGAAAAACAACACAGGGTAAAGAGACAGAGAATGGTGAGAGTGTATAAGCTGTCTTATATAGTGTTGACAGGGAAGGTTTCTCTGATAAGGTGATATTTGAGAAGAGAGACCTGAAGGGAGTGAGCAAGCTATGTGTACATCTGGGAGAAGAGGGTTCCAAGCAGAGGGAACAGCAAGTATAAAAACCTGGGGGTGAGAGCATAATTGATGAGTTGGGAGAATAGCAAGGAGGCCAGTTTAGCTGGAGCTGAGTGATCAAGAATAGTAGGAGGTGAAATCAGAGAGGTATCAGGGAAGAGATTATATAGGGCTTTGTAGGCCATATTAAGGATTTTGGATTATGGTATGAAGTTGGGAGTTTGGGGAGGGTTTTGAACAGAGGAATGACATGATCTGATTTACATTTTAAAAGGACCATTCTGGCTGCTTTGGTGAGAATAGATTATGGAGGCAAGGGTGGAAGGAAGGAGACTTGTTAGGAGGATGTTGCATTATATCTAGGCGAGAGATTGATGTTGGCTTGCACCAGGGTGGTGGCAGTGGAGGTGATCAGAATCTGTATATATTCTAAGGTAGAGCTAAGACAACTGGGTGTAGGGATGAAAGAGAGGACTCAAAGTTTTGAACCTGTTATGAAGGAATCATACCTCCTTCCTCCCACATATATCATTCATTGAGCTGGTGGAGAGATTTGGAATGGGTTCATGAGAGAGGAGGCATTTTAGCTGGGCCTTGAAGATCAGTTAGAATTTTGCTACATAGGGTTGGGGCAGAGGAGAGAGCATTTCAAATCAAAGAAATACTATGGACAGAAGTCTGGAAGTAGAGTGGTGGAATGAAGGGTTAAAGTGAGAAATGAGGTTGGAAAGGCCTAAGGGAAACAAGTTAAGGGTAAAATGAATGAAATCAGCATTGTTTCTACTCACTTTGTATAAGTAAGTACTCCTTGTTCTGGGCAAGTAGTTACTCCCAGTGCAATGCTGTTCATTGACTGTGGTTTCCACATAGCATTCCATGTGTGATGGGCTCCACAGAGATTCCAGATGTTTATGGGAACATATATACTATTGATAATTCATAGATCAGTGTTTCCTAATCAGTTTTCAAGTTTCAAAAGCAATTTTTTTTTTTTTTTTGCGGTACGCGGGCCTCTCACTGTTGTGGCCTCTCCCGTTGCGGAGCACAGGCTCCGGATGTGCAGGCTCAGCGGCCATGGCTCATGGGCCTAGCCGCTCTGCGGCATGTGGGATCTTCCCGGACCGGGGCACGAACCCGCGTCCCCTGCATCGGCAGGCGGACTCTCAACCACCGCGCCACCAGGGAAGCCCTCAAAAGTAATTTTAAATGCAAATTGAAAGTTTGGCTTGGGCCTTGTTATCTTTGAGGTGCTATTAGATACCCAAGTAGAGATGTTGAATAGACAGTTGGAAGTATGAATCCGGAACTCCAGGCCAATGAAATAAGATTGAGAATTGTCTATAAATTGTCAGTTTATAGGTGGCATTTAAAGTCATAGGACTGGATTAGATCAACTAAGGAGAAAAGGTAGGTACAGGAGGTATAAACAAGGTTCACAGACTGAGCCAGGGGCACTGCAGCAGGATGTAAAAGCTCTTTACAGAGGTGTGGATAGTGTGCAGTGTGAGTCCAGAGAACTGAGTGAACACCCACACAGGCAAGCCTCTGCTGTGAAGGGGCCAAGCTGAAGGGATGGGACCAACTTCCTCCATGGTTAGGGGGCTGTGCAGGCCCTTGGTTTTGTGTTGATAGCAGGGGCTGTCAGCTAAGTTGGACCTAAGTTTCAAGTGCTTTGTGGCTTTCTCTTATTAGCACTGACCTGGAGCTAGGCAGGCCTGGTCTGCTGAGGGGAGGTTTGCTTTCCCCGAGGAGGGATTGCAGAATGTAGAGACTGACATCAAGTTAATGTCAGAGCTGAGCATGCTGTCTGGGAGGGAGTAGTTCAACACAGTTCATTTAAAGCACAGGAGATTAGAAACCCTGCTGTGTATCTGTGGTTTCTTGAGTAAAATTTGAGGGACGGGGTACTTAATGGGTGGAAGCAAACATGCCTACTAGAGTTGAAGGTTAAAAGTTCCCTAAAAGAATTTTATAATAACTAGTACTTTCACGGTTCCTTGTATACACTCACACATATGCATATACAAACATACACTTTCCTACCCTCTTTCAGTATATACTAAGAAAAGCTTCAGCCTTTAGAATATTTTTTGAGTTCATCTTACAAATTCTTAGAAAGTAATTGGTACTGCTTTTCTTTGCCCTGATATGCATAGCGTAATGCCTTGGCATAATTATTAAGAATATGAACTTGGGGGCTTCCCTGGTGGCGCAGTGGTTGAGAGTCCGCCTGCTGATGCAGGGGACACGGGTTCGTGCCCTGGTCTGGGAAGATCCCACATGCCGTGGAGCGGCTAGGCCCGTGAGCCATGGCCACTGAGCCTGCGCGTCCGGAGCCTGTGCTCTGCAACGGGAGAGAGGCCACAACAGTGAGAGGCCCGCGTACCGCAAAAAAAAAAAAA